GAAGTAAAACGATTGATCTCGAACTGTCTATGGAAATTGAACAAACTTCATGCTCAGTCATCTCTCAATAGCAAAGATAATGGAAAATATAATGGTCTAGGAGTGTGAAATACTTTTGGGAGAATGAAATCAACATATTGATCAATTTGCATTTCAACTTCATCCTTGAGTTGAATGTCACTAGACTCAATTATTGGTTTATATTCCTCCTTGCATTGAACTTCTGTAGAGTTTTCTTTGGGAAGTGAAAGGTGTTGGGTAATCATAAAATCATATCTTTACTATTTTGTTAGTCTCTTTAGTTTGTTCTAATGAGTGCATAAATCAATCTAAAGAATTTCAGGTCCTTAGTATCCCCATGCTCTTTGTTTGGCTTCCATAGCCTTTATATGTGTGTGTATATATATATCTTCACCTTATGGTTTGTTTGGAAAAAATAGATTGTCAAGTTGATGGAATATGAAATTTATTTTTTCAATTAAACTTGAAAGTCTACTGGAGGTCAATTTTCAAGCTCCTAAATTGGATTTTTTATCTTCCCATAGTTGAACTAAGCGTGGATTTTCAAATAAATTCTATCTGATCATAGCTTTAATCCTGGTTTCCTGACTTTTTGATTCTATCGTCAATCTTCTCTTGTGCTCCCTAATCTTAGTATTCCTCTGCACCTTTTTTCCATCCTAGTACAAATTCCTTTAATTCTAACATAACCTACATCACTTACTATGAAATTTAGCTTGTGCTATATCAGATTGTGCCAGAAACCATACAATTGATGTCTAAGTGTTGGTACGTAACATGCAATGAGATCAGCACGTAGTTGAATCTAATTGAGTTGGCCATTTGTTTAGTAACTGTTTCTTTTGTTTGCTTTATAAAAGATTTTCCAGAAGTAGAAACTCTGTAGTTTGAAGAGCATATTATCTAGAGTGGAGAAGTGACCTAGCAAGCTTACTCCCATTGTTATTGCTCTTTATTTGCATTGGTGTGAACTGTGAAGGAATTGTAAGGTGGAATTGTTTGCTTGCATCGTGCTTAATTAGGTTTTATCTTCAAGTTGTTCTGTCATGATATCCTAAGAGCTTGACCATAAACTTTTGTTTCTGTTGCCTAATTATTTAATGTGTTTTCTTTATTTTCAGAAACCATCATGGGAAAAGGCAGCCAAAATAATAAGAGAAAGGTGGTTTGAATTTCTACTGTTTCCTTTTGTTGAAAATGAAATTAGTAGCTTATTTATTAACAGTTTTCTATCTGGAATTCTTATGAACACTTCTCTTTTTGCAGATATGATCCAGAAATGGATGGGCGTATTCTTATGGCAAAGGTTGATTGTACTGAGGAGGTTGATCTGTGCAGAAGGTATTTCCCAGGTTTATATATCCTCATAACATCTGTAAGTTTGTGTATATTTACCTTGTTGACAACGGAACTGTATAGTGGAGTTTCTGGGATTTGTTTCTTTAGGTTTAAATGTATTTTCATTCTTGTAAGATGCGTAACTGTATGCTTCATCCCACTATTTCTATATTTTTTAATAGTTATCCATTACATTTTAAGTTTAGTGTTTTATTGTACTAGTCTTTTTGTATTTTTTTAAATAAATAGTCTTTTTGGATTATTAGTTCCTCATTTTCAGCAGTTAACATGTTTTTTACCATGAATTTCAGAAATCACATACAGGGTTATCCATCCATTCGCATTTTTCGCAAAGGCAGTGATCTCAGGTAAGAATACATGTTACTGGGCATGTTTACTAGCTTTTTCCTTTCTTCTTAAGGAAAAACTTTGTTAACTTAAATCATTATGTTAGTCTTCTTCTATTTGATTCTTTTACTAGAACAATTTTCCTCACATGGCACAAAGTGTGTTATTGACTTTTTTTGTAAGAGATATTCTTTTGATTTTTTAAAGTGTATGTTCCTCTTTTGCATCTACAAATAACTTCCTCTAGCACAATAGAACATCACATCTCTAGTATATTTTTCTGCTTGAATATTCAGCTTCATCAAGCATCATAATACATCACGTGATCACCTTGTTTTGGGAGCTTAACTGATAGTTTTGTGGATATATACTTGGAACTAAGGTTGCAATTTTTGTGTATTGTTATAATCATCAAGTGCCTTATGTTTGTGCTGTGTATATACAAGTGGATTGACCATTGATATCTGTATCTATCTATTTTTATTTTTATCTCAAACTTCAACTGTGTACTAGAGAATTCTAATTCAAACTGCATTGTTTTCTTGTTCTTGTTGACTAATCCTTTAGTTAACTACTTTGGCTTACCTCTTTGGTTAATCACTTACATGGTTCCCTACTTATGTCACTTTGCTTGTCCAACTTCAGAGTTTGTTACTTTTTTATATAATTATGATTTAGTATATGACCGCATCTTGCCAGTCATGTGCTCAGCTTTAGGTTCTGGAAGAATATAGGCTTGGCAATCACATACTCCTTGCATATCCGGTGTATAACCGAACTTTTGGGGTCAAAATATTATTTTTTTTGTTCTTGTTCTTTCATCTCCATCATCCCTTTTACTCGTCATATTATAATTTATGTGGTTAATAGAATGCTTCAATGCTCATGGTCCCACACCCTACTAGTTTTCGACATTTCTCTTTGCTTTTATATTTTTTGCCTTGTTTCTTTAAGCCAATTCGTGTTAAAAAATCTCATAATATCTGTTTTGTGCTCGAGAGCATAAGTCTATTTTTTTATGCTAACTGTAGTGCTTTGGAGTTCTTTAACTTCATAAAAAGTAATTGATTCATTCTGAATATTGTTTCAAATTGCAGCTGTCAATTTTCAGATTTTTCTTTTCAGTTATTGTTGAAAATTTCTTCTGTTACTTTCTTTTTCTATGTG